GTGCTACGGTTTCCTCCGGTCTCCATTCACATCACTGTATGTGGTGTGAATGGAAAAATACACAAGCTGAGAGAAAACCTGTCCTGGGTCTTCGCCTGGTCTCCTCCCCACTCGCCCAGAGCACACCTAAAACGGCTCCTCTGGACGTGGAGAAGCAGCAGCTCTACTCTGAGCTCCTTCCCCCTAGATCAAAGGGATTACCCAGTCACTCTGTAAATGAAACTCTTGTGTATCCACGATCTCGTCCTTTTAATCATGACCCAAAGCTCATGATCCGAGGTGAAGGTGGTAGATTGAAGAGCTTTGACTGCAGACGCTGCTCCCTCCCTCTGTTGTGGGGAGGGAGCCGCACATACAGCAGTTCTGACAGCTGGCAGAAAATCACTTCCTTTAGTCGTTCAAACCCACATTTCACTCGGAACACATTTCTTTTCAACATAATTCGCTCGCAGGTTTTGTGTCCGTTACAGTTTTTCTCATTTGCTTTGTCAAAAACTTAAAATGGAATTGTCACAACACGCCTGATCGCTTTCCATAACTGCCGGCCGCGGCGTTTGGCTGAAAGAGCGTCACTTACCCAAAACATTTCAGATCCAGATGACAGTTTTCGTTTTGGAGACATGATCAGCGGCGTCTGAATGAAAAGCTGTTTTGTCAGAACGCCACAAAGAGCATTTATGACTTCTTTTAGTTTTTTTTTTTTTTTTTTTTTTTGGGAAGTGGGTTTGAAAATGTAAAACAGATTTGATAATGGTGATACTCTGCAGATAAATCTATGTTCTGTATCTACGAAGCAAATAAAGGTAATCGCTGACGAATCGCTTTGGGCAGAAGAAGAACAGAGTTTCTCCCCGATTTCAAACTTATACAAAAGGTTATGAGAAGCAGAGAAAAGGTGGAGCCGATATATATATTTATTAAAATACACAATATCGAGTTTTTTGAGTTTTTTTATCTTACAACTTTGTACCTTCAACAAAAACAGAACTGGATCAGCAAAAACACAAGCGGACTGAGTGCATTCGGGGATCAATAAATATGATACACATTAAACGTAAGAAGTCAAGTGTTCTTCGAGGATCCGTGGGAAATGAATGTAGAAAGCAAAGAGGTCTGAGGGACTTAAAACATACACACATTCACAAACACACACGTACACACACACATACACACACATACACACACACACACGTACACACAAACACACACACACACACACACAAACACATGCAGAAACCATATATGCGACCACACACATGCACATTCACACACACATAAACACACACATACACGTTTTTGTTACCTGGTGGGTCCCTTTGACAGGGCCGTTCAGAATGGGACCCATAGACATAATCTTTTTTTACCAAGACTTTAAGTAATACAAAACAGTCAATAGAAACCAAACAACTATTTTAAAGGAATTTTATTTTAGATTTTGTTTTCGAATTGCAGTGATTCTATTTTTGACATAGAATTTAATGCCACTCCATGTCCGATGTCTAAGGTCATCTGGTGAGGCATTAATGCAGGCCAGGCAGTGAGACTTCCCAGGGACCTTTCCAGTCTGTATGAAAGGTGTCATGGTCTTCTCCACAGCCTTCACCTCAGATGCAGACCATGGCTTTCTTACACGTTCTAGGGAGAGAAATAAAAATATATTAGCAATATACACTCCCAGGGTGAGGACCAAGCAGCCTGGCTGTAATCCCCCACCTGGTACACTTACCAGAAGGGGCACTGCCACTACCATGGGGTGCATCTGGATGAATGGTTGAAGGTTCTTCGCTTGAAGTTTCTTTTAGCCCGTCCGTTTGTGAGAGGATCTCTACTGCTCTCCCTGTCGCACAGAAAATAAAAATACAAGTGGCCTTTAGGGGAAAAAAATCATACATATTTTAATAATATCAAGAATTACCTTCAGGCTCAATTTGTATCTGGTCGAGGCTCTTTCCTTCGAATTCCGTCACTCTTCCCTGCTCCATGGCCATCAACACTTTGCTGATTTTGGCCAGCTCCAGTGTCCCCTCTGGTAGTCTGTAATATTGCCTGTGGATGCGAATGTCATGGCCGAGGAAGTTGGCAAGTATGTCCATCTCATTCTCTTTCATATTGAGAACTGTAGACATAGTAGCTATGTGCTTTCTAAGTTTGGTTGAGGATAGCATCTCTGGATGCACCGCACCACATTCTTTGGCTACCTGGCGTAGGGAGTCTGATCCCCTGATGTGGGTGTCTGCGCCCGGGCGGGAAAAGAAGTATGGGTTATGGTCAGAGATGGAACAGGCCCTTCTGTTCTCCACCAGCACCTCCATCGAAGCAATCATTTCAGGAGTCAAAAGAACCGGCACTTTCCGACTTCTTTTCCCTTTAATTTCAATGCGTTGAAAATGCTGACACAGCTTTTTCTCAAGTTGGGACAGTCCCAGAGCAATGTCAGAATGGATCCCAGTCTTACTTCTTAAGGTAAAGGCTGTCAGTGGCATCTTTGAAACCTCACCTTCCCTTCTTCGATTGAAAATGATGACCTCACAAAGAGTCAAAACTGCCAGTTTAGACCAATGCTTAGACGTTGGCTCACTTATTAGGGTTTGCACATATTCAGGTCGACATACCTCAATATGTGCATGCATGGCTCTAACGTCCTCAGTCAGAGGGAGCAGGTCCGGAGTGTTCCACTTGGCTTGCCGGAGGGTCTGTAGGGCAGCAGAAGAAACACAGACGTCCCACCTCTTCTCAAAAAGCAGCCGGCTTCTTTGGAGGTTTTTAATAAATAGTTCATCAACACAATGCTCCATTTTTGAGTCACATTCAAGAATATCTGCTAGCTTTCTGAGGCTATGGCCGAGTTTGAGGGCCAAGGATGGAGTCTTGTATTGATTTGTTTCCTCATCATATCCAGCCACAGACCTGACTGCATCAATCACATGGTTAAAGTTGGAAGGAATAAAGAAATCCTTAATTGTTTTCAGTTTCCCTGCGGTTTTTGCTTCGTTAATTAACCTACCGACTTCTCTCATTTTCTGCCTAATGTAATCATGCTTTGTCTTATCATGCCCGTGTTTTAAGTACAGGTGCTCTCCGAGTCTCAGAATCCCCTTTTCTGCTTTGACAACACCCGTGACCTCATCCTGATGCATTGCCGAAATTAAAGACCACAGCTTTTTGCTGATGCCCTCCGGTACAGGCTGGGCTAGGGAGCAGAGGGACTGGACCCTACTTCTACCTGGTTTAGCCTGGGCATCTTTCTGTGAAAGCCGGCACCTGGCCACATGCCTCCACAGCGACTTTCGCTTAAGCAATGCCCCACAGTCTATACAGTGCAAAAACTCACTGGATTTAACTGGGGAATTTGGCTGTTTAGCTGGGACTAAAGTTCCAATGCCGGCCTTTAAAACCTCAAAATTGTGCTCACGGTTTCCACTATTCCTGATCAAATCAAACTGAAGTTTACGTGCTTTAGATTTCACAGGTAGAGCCAATGCTCTGGCTACGTCACTTTCATTTCCATGTTTTCTAGTCAAATGACGGGACATTTTGTGGCAGGACATTGAACAGTAGAGGCAGAAGTGTCTCTTGCTGTATACTCGCCCCCCATTTTTCTTCTTTTGCAGCTGCATGATAACAATCTTATTTGCCTTTGGTTCGTCACTTTCCGAGTCTTGAAGAAAAGTGTTTTTGATTTTTCTTTTTCCATACTTTTTTACAGGTTTCTTCTTGACAGTTAAATCGTCAGAATCTGAGTCGACTTCATCAATTAGGGACTCTTGACTAAGCTGCACAAACAACAAATAATTTGTAATCATTCTATATAACAATTTGAAGTCATGACTTGTAGTCAGCACTTACCAGTGGTTTGTAAGCGTGCGCTTCAGTGTGCTCCTCCATGATTTCTTGCAGCCTAATGAACCACACACTTGCACCTTTTTCTAGCCTGACACCTGATTTCCTCTGTTGTGCTGCTCCATGATTGGCTCCAGCCTGCTGGACTGAAATTGCCCCAGTGTGCCCCTCCTTGATATCCCGCAACCCACCACCAGGGTTCCGACACATAACACACTTTTTTCAGGAAAGTAAACCTCCAGGGGTCCTTTCCATATTTTTACAGAGACTGCATAAGGACCGTTAGAAAAGCATTACCCATTGATTATTAAGCTTGGACCAGTGGGGTCCGGTGTTCGGGCCCCACCACGTAAAACCAGTCCCCATGACGTGAGTGGAATCTCAGGTTATGGAACCCACCAGGAGTTGAAAACAAGTGCACACTCACATGCCCACACACACACACAAAATACACTCACATACGTACATTCACATAAACACACACATACAAAAACGCGCACACACACACACACATAAAAACACACTCACATACAAACACACACACACATAAAAACACACTCACATACGCACATTCACATACACACACATACAAAAACGCACACACACACACACACATGCCCACACACAGACATACATTCACATACACTCACATACGTACATTCACATACACACACACACATACGCACATTCACATACACACCCACACACATGCCCACACACACACATACATAAAAACACACTCACATACGCACATTCACATACACACACATACAAAAACACACACACACACACACATGCCCACACACACACATACATAAACATACACTCACATACGTACATTCACATACACACACACACACAATAATAATAATCCGTTGCAATGATACCTCATATTCATAAATAATAATTTTAAAAAACATATTTTCCCGCCCTTTGTATGGACCACCCTTTCTCAGCCAATCAGCTCTCAGCCCAAAAAGACACATAGTGACTCACCGGGCTCTCTAACAAGAATTTTTAACAGATAAAGACAGATTTAAAAATATATTGTTTTTATGACTCATTCTTTTGGGAACAAACCACATCCACTGAAATCTAAAACTATGCATAACTTTTTTGTTGTTGTAATGTTTTAAAAAGTGTGTTTGTTGTGTTTGCAGGTGCTGCAGGAGGAGACGTCGATCCCGGGGAGTGACTTGAACCTGGTTTATCTGAGCTCCAGAGCGGCGGGATACAAACCCATCCTCAAAGTGACCATGACCCAGACGTCCATCCCCTTCAACCTCATGAAGGTCAGACACACTGCAGCTCACTCCAGCTCACTCTGCTGCATTCAGACTGTTGTCAAGTCATCAAATACCTCTGTAGAAACTGTGTTCAAACAGAGACAAAGAGAGAGACCAGAGAGAGACCAGAGAGAGACCAGAGAGAGACCAGAGAGAGACCAGAGAGAGACCAGAGAGGGACTAGAGAGAGACCAGAGAGAGACCAGAGAGAGACCAGAGAGACACTATAGCAAGCGACAAGAGAAAGACCAGAGAGAGACCAGGGAGAGACCAGAGAGAGACCAGAGAGAGGACAGAGAGAGACCAGAGAGAGACTAGAGAGACACTATAGCAAGCGACAAGCAAGAGACCAGAGAGAGACCAGGGAGAGACAAGAGACAGGCCATAGAGGGACTAGAGAGAGACCAGAGAGAGACTAGAGAGACACTATAGCAAGCGACAAGAGAAAGACCAGAGAAAGACTAGAGAGAGACCAGGGAGAGACAAGAGACAGGCCAGAGAGAGACCAGAGAGAGACCAGAGAGAGACCAGAGAGAGACCAGAGAGAGACCAGAGAGAGACCAGAGAGAGACCAGAGAGAGACTAGAGAGAGGACAGAGAGAGGACAGAGAGAGACCAGAGAGAGACCAGAGAGAGACTAGAGAGACACTATAGCAAGCGACAAGCAAGAGACCAGAGAGAGACCAGGGAGAGACCAGAGACAGGCCAGAGAGGGACTAGAGAGAGACAAGCGAGAGACTAAAGAGAGAGGCCGTGCTACTAGGAATTACCCCAGCTTTAATGTTTAGTGTTAGCTTAGATTAGTCCTTAGGTAATTATTAGTTCTAGTTTCTTCACACCTGTGTCTCATTAGAATCACCTTTTAAGCCTAAAACATGATAAACTTTATACATTTCATTTTTTTCTGTTGTTGTTGCTCTGGTCTTGCGTTCTGTTGTTTATTTTCTCCTCCACTTTTCCGAGTCTGAAGTGATCAAAACGACTGCTCCGGTGACCGTCAACGGTTAGGGTCATGTGGATGTCTCACTTTTCACACATAGCCTCACGACACTGCGAGCGGAGATGGCGTTGCGAGAATAAATATGTTTTGCTTCTTTTTAACCTTCGTAACCTCAGATGGAGTCAGTCGTGCACGGGCATTTTGAGCCACGCTGGTTTTTTTCTTTTGCTTCGTGAACAAGTTACAGCCACAAAGATAGAGTCCAGTTTACATTACTGCTATGTTTCTTTAGGATCTACTTTTTTGTTCAGACCTACTGTAAATCACAACAGTGGTTATTTATAGAAGGAGTTTACAAAGCTGTGGATTCGCCAACACAGAATTGTTCGCCAACACAGAAACACATAGAGCCGTTGGTCCATAAGAGGCAGATGAGCAATGTCCATAAATATTAATAAAATCCATAAATGTTGTTCAATGATGAGTGTCCAGGGTCATGACCACTGTCCTTAGACCAGAGGTGTCAAACTTATTTTGGTTGAGGGCCAAATAAAAAAGAAAGGGCTGGTCAGGGGCCGACAAAAAAGTGTGTTGGAATATGAAGGGATCTAAATAAATGACTTTCACATTAGTTGGATTGGACATTCTTTTCTGATTAGAATGAGTTCTGTTTCTGTGGACTGAACCAAAACTGGACCAAATATTGAAGGTATTTAGGAAGATTTTCTACTTTTGGGTGGATCATCAAGATTATTGGTCCTCCCAACTGTCAATCATTCTGGTAATTTGTGCTCGTCAAATAAGAGCAGAGAGTTTTGTTAAAACAGTGGAGAGGGCGGTTCTTTCCTAAGAAAATTGGGAAATCCTCCTTTCGATCTTTAAGAAGAAATGTAATTTAAGACTCGTAAAAAACATAACATAATAAAACTAACTTCTAATTACATGTTGGCTCAACATTTCTAATGGAATTAAATTCTTTGGTTGTTTTCTTAGTGATTGATAACATGCCATCGTCGCCTTTTACCGTTAATGCTGCTATTTAATATAATAATTTAAAATCCTCTCAAGGGCCACTGGAAATGGTCTCGCGGGCCAGATCTGGCCCCCCGGCCTTGACTTTGACACCTGTGCCTTAGACCTTCCTGCATCAGCGAGGAGAGTCCACCACAAAACCACTGTCCTTAGATTAAGATTAAGGAGTTTTTAACCCTAATATTAGGCCTGTCACGATAACAACATTTGCTGGACGATAAATTGTCTTCAAATTTATTGCCATGAGTGATAATATTGTGGTTCTGAGATCAGGCCGGCATATGTTCACAAGCACTGTGTCCCGCATTGTCAATCCTGGTTTAGTCCTGGTTAAGTCCTGGTTAAGTCCTGGTTTAGTCTTGGTTTAGTCTTGGTTTAGCTCCTGTTTTGGCTGTATTTTGTATTTTTGATGTCCCTGTGACCACTTTGCGGCTCCCTGACCCCAGAGAGAGAGAGGGAGAGAGAGAGAGAGAGATGGAGAAAACAAACAAGCATGCAAATGGATTTTATTGCGGACAGAAAAATTATCGAGCTAATTTTAATTATCATGTGATTAGTTGATTTAGTGAATATCGCGACAGGACTACTTAATATTAATCGAAGGACAGTGGTTTTGTGGTGGGATTGAATGTATTGCATCGGGACCAATGAGAAATGCCGTACACACAAACAGCTTCAACAACTACACTGCCAAAAGTGATCAAATATGAGGTCATAAATATCTTAAAACAAGATATCCAAGGGAGATATTTCTTGTATCTTTTTAAAACAAGATCATTTTGCTGTGTCCCATCGGCAAATCTTGTTTTAAGGCTCAGTCAGAATTTACTCAAATAAAGACACATTTTGCCAAATTTTAGCAATTTTTGACATTTTTGAGTATTTTTGTAGTGTATGCTTTGTTTTCTTTGATGTTTAAGAGATTTTCCCGTCACCACATATGCACACATGTATAGATATACGTAATCGTTAAAACAGTCTTTGTCCTGTGTTTTTTGCAGGTACATCTGATGGTGGCGGTGGTGGGGAGGCTCTTCCAGAAGTGGTTTCCCGCTCAGCCGAACCTGTCGTACACTTTCATATGGGACAAGACGGACGCCTACGGCCAGAGGGTCTACGGTCTGTCGGAGGCTGTGGGTAAGTCGCACCGTTCTGTCTTTCAAACAGCTTTACCACTACTACTCCCAGACCAGTCCATTTGACGGCTTTTAGTTTTGGGAAGCATCATTTTTCAGCTTACAGTATGTGCTGCACAGGTTTGGTCTTTCTAACTCTGTGTGTGTTTTTTACTACCACAGAAGAGAGAGATGTGGTTACCATAGCAACACATGGTTTAATCGCAGCAGTTAGCATCTGTTAGCATAATTACTTGGCTCATGTACTGTACAAGTTTAGTCTTTCTATCTCTTGTGACTTTTTATATCTATATGTAGTTCATTTCTATGTAATGATTTGTGTTTAATTGTAATACGTTTTTCTGCCAGAGAGGAGAGAAAGCTAGTTACCATAGCAACATACTGTTCGCTAGCAGCAGCTAGCATCTGTTAGCATAATTACTCAGCTCATGTACTGTACAGGTTTAGTCTTCCTAAATTTGTGACTTTTTGATATAAATGTACTTTATTTCGATGTAATGATTTGTGTTCAATTGCAATATGTTTTTTTTCTACCAGAGAGGGGAGAAAGCTAGTTACCATAGCAACACACTGTTTACTAGCAGCAGTTAGCATCTGTTAGCTTATCGACTAACTGTTTGGCTTTATTTCCAGTTATTTTTACAACTTTTAGCACTTCTTGAAAGTAAAAACTGCATACTGTACATTAATTTGTTATTAACCTTAATTTATGCACAGCTAAACACTATTGTTTTAAACCTGATTTGAACGTTGTCAGAGTTAAAGCCTGTCTCACATTTTTAGGAAGACTCCAGACTGCATGAATCTGAAACGCTGCCTCTCCATGCAATTAATTGTGATAAATTTCCTTCCAAGGGAGACATTTCTTGTATTTTTTTCAAACAAGATAATTTTGCTTTGTCCCATCGGCAAATCTTTTAAGGCGGGTCAAAATGTCCTTAAACTAACCTTTTGCCACATTTGAACCATTTTTGACTTTCTGCAGCGCCCTTGTTCCCTCGGTGCAGACAGATACAAAGCGCCGCAGCCGTAGTTCAAATGCATTCTGGGAAAATGCTTTGACAGGAAAATGCCCGCGACATAATGCGCCCGCTAACCTCCGCGCCACCTTTACGAGGGACAAGTGGGGGAGCTGGCTTCCCCTGAGTTATTACCCAAACTGTGACGGAGCGGCATAAAAAAGATTTACTATTCTGTTTTCTAACGCGGCTGAAATTGGCGCTCATATATTATTATAAAAACAGCGTTGCCCGAGGAATATTTTAGATGCGTGTCTTGCAAGAAGGCCAGTGAGTTTTTTTTCAGCTTTCATTGTTTTTTCATTCCCTGAGAGAAAAATGGCCGAATATGAAGAGAGTGACAGGGCTGGTAATAAGACGGAGGAGTGGGGAGAGTCACTGACAATCATTTAGTCTCTCGCCATTTTCTTTTTTTCTGAGTGGTGTGAAGGTTTGTGGGAGGCACTGGGGGAAAACAGCCCCCTGTAGGTACTATAGGAAGAATCTCTCAAACGTTAACTGCGTAGGGATTAAGAGGGTCCAAGGCAGGGGTGTCAGACTCATTCTGGTTGGGAGCCGAAAGTAGAAAATTATATAAGAAATTAATACAATTTTAGGGCCTGAAGAGAGAGAGACCAGAGAGAGAGAGACCACAGAGAGAGAACAAAGAGAGAGACCACAGAGAGAGACCAGAGATAGACTACAGTTAAAGACCAGAGAGAGTGATCACAGAGAGAGAACAGAGAGAGACCAGAGCAAGACCAGAGAGAGAGAACAGAAAGAGAGACCACAGAGAGAGACCACAGAGAGAGACCACAGAGAGAGAACAAAGAGAGAGACCACAGAGAGAGAACAAAGAGAGAGACCACAGAGAGAGACCAGAGAGAGACCACAGAGAGAGAACAAAGAGAGAGACCACAGAGAGAGACCAGAGAGAGACCACAGAGAGAGAACAAAGAGAGAGACCACAGAGAGAGAACAAAGAGAGAGACCACAGAGAGAGACCAGAGAGAGACCACAGAGAGAGAACAAAGAGAGAGACCACAGAGAGAGACCAGAGATAGACTACAGTTAAAGACCAGAGAGAGTGATCACAGAGAGAGAACAGAGAGAGACCAGAGCAAGACCAGAGAGAGAGAACAGAGAGAGAGACCACAGAGAGAGACCACAGAGAGAGACCACAGAGAGAGACCAGAGAGAGAGACCACAGAGAGAGACCACAGAGAGAGACCACAGAGAGAGACCAGAGAGAGAGACCACAGAGAGAGACCACAGAGAGAGACCACAGAGAGAGACCAGAGAGAGAGACCACAGAGAGAGACCACAGAGAGAGAGACCACAGAAAGAGACCAGAGAGAGACCACAGAGAGAGACCAGAGAGAGAGACCACAGAGAGAGACCACAGAGAGAGACCAGCGAGAGAGACCACAGAGAGAGACCACAGAGAGAGACCACAGAGAGAGACCAGAGAGAGAGAGACCAGAGCAAGACTAGAGAGAGAGAACAGAGAGACCAGAGCGAGACCAGAGAGAGAGAACAGAGAGACCAGAGCGAGACCAGAGAGAGATTGGAGAGAGAGACCAGACAGAGAGAGACCACAGAGAGAGACCAGACCAAGTAGAAGTAGTTTGAGATTTCCTAGTGTTAAACATGGATTCTATGAATTAAAAACAAACAGAAACTTAACTCCCTCTGGCTTCTTTTGTGTCAACACAGCAGTGGAACTCTTCAGCTTTAAAAAACTTAATATTTGATAAGTGTCTATCAGAAAAAAGGCAATAAACCTATCCCTTTTTAACACCGTCATAAAATCACCATAAAATACGTCTAGACCACTTTTTACATCCACAACATCTCGAGTTCTGTCGTGAAACTATCAATTATGGACCGATTTCACTCAACACAGACGCCTGCAACGGATCAAATTCATACACTGATATTAAAAACGCCGCAAGTTTTAAGACAATTTCTCGTCGTTGTCGGTTTTCCAAATATTCGCCGGGTAACAGAATAGTCCTTATTCTTTAGCTTGGCTGCGGACCAAGCCGTTTGAACGTTCTCGTCGAGCTGTTTTTGGCTCGGAGCGCGTAATCAAAACCACGCAGCCCCCTGAGATAGGGCTCTCACTTGGAGGAGGCCGGTCACTGCGGAAAGAGCCAAATATGTGATTAATCCCAGATATGAGTGAAGCAGGGAGAAGGGTGGACTGTAGATGTGTTGGCGTTTGGTTTGGGTTCGGTCGTGTAAGTAACTGGACGTATGAGAAGGTTTTTAATTGGATTTCGGTGTGTTTTTGGTCCGTTTGGAAGATTCTGCATTGTAGCTTTTGATAGGGTCATTAACCACTGCTGCTATTGTTATTCATTTTGAAATAAAAGTCTTTTTCCCGTGAGGTTTCCATGAAAAGTTGACCTACATGTGTTGACAAAAAAAAGCTCGTGCATACTGTCTCACTCTTTTTATTGCGATTTTCATTCTATTTGTCCTTCAAGATAGTAAGTCGTAAACGTAGAAAACAATAGCCTGGCCTTAGCCATCCGTACACTCCGGTCAATCATCATTTCCTGCATGTAACGTCTGGGTCTGGTCCCTGTGTTTGCAAATATATCGGTTGAATTCCATCTGACCAATCAGCGAGCGCGGGAGGCGGGTGTTGTAGTTAGTTGTGGGTGACGTCAAGAGTTTGCGCCAATTGGGCAGATTGTAGTTTGGCAATGGCGAAGAATGCGTTAGTATTTCGGTCTGGTTCAATCAAGAAATTGAAGCCGGAGCAAGAGTTTAGCAAACGTAATTGCTGTAAGGATTTTGGCGCTACTCCCCACGGGCTCCGTTAGCGGCAAAGGAGATGGCTAAAGCTAGGCTAAATGCTAAATGCTAACAACTCACTCGGGTGCATTACATACGTGACGGTAAACTCAGATCTGGTCGTTTCTATCTGCAAAAGGAGTTAACCCCTTAGTACGACTACGAAATGTAATTTGTACTATGGCGTGGTACGACCAGGCTAAGAAAAAAATTGCTTTATATTAATATATTTTGTACATTTTAAATCTCAATATTGAGTTATAAAAGGAAGTAGTCTGGACATATTTATATTCAGTCCCTCCAGGTGGCTCCCCGCTCTTCCCCTAGGGGTAAAAAAGGATTCAGACTTCAATTTGAACCAATAAAATCAGCAGCTTTTTACCATCTGAAAACATTGCCAGAATCAAAAACATAGTGTCTAAAGCAGACTTGGAGATTCTTATCCATGCATTAGGTTTGATAACTGTGACGGCTCGTTCTCAGTGCTCTCCAGTGCGTTCAAAACACTGAAGTTTGAGACCTGATTTGAACCAGGAAGTACGATCACAGTAGTCCAGTTTGAGTAGACTTTGAAGCAGGGCTGCCTGTGTACTTGTCTCTCATTAGCCTCACACAGACAACAGAGAGAGAGTGAGAGACCTGAGAGAGAGACCAGAGAGAGAGAGACCAGAGAGAGACAAGAGAGCGAGACCAGAGAGAGGCAAGAGAGAGACCAGAGAGACAAGAGAGAGACCAGAGAGAGACAAGAGAGAGACCAGAGAGAGACAAGAGAGCGAGACCAGAGAGAGACAAGAGAGAGACCAGAGAGAGACAAGAGAGCGAGACCAGAGAGAGGCAAGAGAGAGACCAGAGAGACAAGAGAGCGAGACCAGAGAGAGGCAAGAGAGAGACCAGAGAGAGACAAGAGAGAGACCAGAGAGAGACAAGAGAGCGAGACTAGAGAGAGGCAAGAGAGAGACCAGAGAGAGACCAGAGAGAGACAAGAGAGCGAGACTAGAGAGAGGCAAGGGAGAGACCAGAGAGAGACCCGAGAGAGACAAGAAAGAGAGAGACCAGAGAAAGACAAGAGAGAGACCAGTGAGATAGACCGGAGAGAGAAAGACAAGAGAGAGATTTGAGAGAGAGAGACAAGAGAGACCAGAGAGAGAGGTTCTGTCAGTGTGCCCCAGGGCAGCTGTGGCTACAGTAGTAGTTTACCACCACTGCATTAGGAGTCCATATAAAACCAATGCATTATTATCATCATTTCTGTGCTACTACTGCACTAGTCTTTGTATCACACCTCACACTTACACCGACATTAATCTAATGTTAAATAACATAGATTGCCATAGCAACAGTGTCAAGGCAGTACGCAGGCCAGGATAAATCATTCCTAGTCAAACAAAACTTCAACAATTAGCCTCTCGGGGTGACAGCGTGAAAATAATCAACGTCTGTACGAGTCAGAGGGTCCGACGGCTCTGTATGAAAACATTTTGGAAGCATGCGTAACGTCCTAGCACTGAGTTTTTAGCAGTAAAATAACCCAGGTGCATCTGTATTCTGCCCACGTCACCCTGTCCTGAAAGCAAAAACCCCATAAATCAGCTTTCATTGACTTCGCCTCAGTTTTATGACCCAATTTAGTCACGATTTAAGACATTTTTATTGCGGAGTTTCATATCCGCCATCTCCTCGCAGTCTTTTTAATACAAGATAAACACAGGTCTTTGTATTTGCTAATATGCTAAAGTCGTTATTTCCATTAGTTGCTAGCTGTACCGCACGGACGTCGGTGGGGAGCTAGCGATACCTCCCAGTCATTTTTTGACCGAGGTCCTTCGTCCAATTAAAGAATCAAACTGATGCAAAAAACATTAAGCGACGAATAATGAATGATACATGTTGGATTTTTAAAGCTTAAATGCTAATCTGTGTGTTGGAAAGCCTCCAGTTCAAACTTGACCTCACGAATTACACTTTTCAGACATCTTTATTAATACTTGTTGTGTGAATGACATTTGTCCCACGGTGGGGAAATGTCAGTGTTGCAGCGCACAGACAGGACAGTAGTGAGAGCACACTGGGACCACGCAAGAGTAGCTGCTATGTTTCTTAGCTAGCTGTGAATGTTTTGTCGATCAGTCTTCATTTGTAAAGCACATTTAAAACAGTCGATGTAAGTACAAAAAGGGCAACAATAAATAAAATAAAAAAATTATGTTCACAAATCAAACCTTACAACTTGGACTCCCACAATTATGAATCTACTAGAACTCCCAGAGCCGTCATTTTGACTGCTCCCATTCAAACCAACAGAAATCCGAGAGTTTAGTCTTTCTCTGGATTTAATTTTGTTTTGTTTTTTTAACCTTTACTCACTTTTGATGTATAGTAATTACACTTGAAGATCTAAAAGCCGTCAAATTGACTGCTCTCGTGATTGTGCAGTCCTAATGTGCATCATTCATTCAATCATTGATGGTAACCCTCTGTTACTGCTGCTCACAGCGTTGCAGCAGTAAACACCAGCAAGAAACTTATTTCAATGGCTCTTAAGGTTCACTGAGTCCTCTACTTTTCTCAGAGACAGGGGAGAGAGAGAGACGAGAGAGAAACAGGCGAAAGAGAGAGAGAGAGACAAGAGAGAAACATGAGAGAGAGAGAGAGAGAGGGGAGATAGTGGAGAGAGACAAGACAGAAACAGGAGAGAGAGAGGGGAGAGAGAGACAGGAGAGAGAGGGAAGATAGAGGAGAGAGACAAAAGAGAGAGAACAGAGCAAGAGATCAGAGAGAAAGAACAGAGAGAGACACAGGAGAAAGAGAAGAGAAAGACCAGAGAGATGGAACAGAGCAAGAGACTGGAGGGAAACCATAGAGAGAGACCAGAGAGAGAGACCACAGAGACCACAGAGACCAGAGAGACCACAGAGACCAGAGAGACCACAGAGACCAGAGAGACCACAGAGACCAGAGAGACCGGAGAGAGAGACCAGAGAGACTGGAGAGAGAGACCACAGAGACCAGAGAGACCAGAGAGAGAGACCACAGAGACCAGAGAGACCGGAGAGAGAGACCAGAGAGACTGGAGAGAGAGACCACAGAGACCGGAGAGAGAGACCGGAGAGAGAGACCGGAGAGAGAGACCAGAGAGAGAGACCACAGAGACCAGAGAGACCGGAGAGAGAGACCAGGGAGAGAGACCAGAGAGAGAGACCAGAGAGAGAGACCACAGAGACCAGAGAGACCGGGGAAAGAGACCGGAGAGAGAGACCAGAGAGAGAGACCACAGAGACCAGAGAGACCGGAGAGAGAGACCATAGAGACCAGGGAGAGAGATTATTCATTATATAAAAATAAATAAAATAAAAAGTATCCAGTAAGGCCAGGGTGTGCCTATACACGGGTAAGTTCATAAATGAAAAGGCATGTACCAGTAGTAAGCAGATTTATTGTGATATATCTTTGCCCTTTTAGTTTAAAGTGTCATTTTAAAATAAGTGTCAGGTTTGAAAGTAGAACATGTCGAGATGGCAGCGAAGGTCAAGTCCCGATCCTGAGAATGAAACCTACTTCTGTACACAGTTAGAGAATGATACAAATACGCAGACACGGGGAGAACATGCAAACTCCACTCAGAAAGGCCCTGGTCCGGCCGGGATTTGAACCCAGGACCTTCTTGCTGAGAGGCGAGAGTACTATCCACTCAGCCACCGTGCCGCCCACGGTGGCTGAGAGAGAGGGACCAGGGAGAGAGACCAGAGAGAGAGACCAGAGAGAGAAACCAAAGAGAGAGACCAGAGAGAGTGATCAGAGAGAGACAAGAGAAATACCAGAGAGAATAAACACAAAAAGAGACCAGAGAGAGAGACCAGAGAGAGTATATTAGAGAATGATACAAATGTGGCTCTCATGTGCAGTGGTTTGCTCTCTGCTTTTGGCTCCGGTTCTCAGGTCGTCTGTGTGTTTCTTCGATGCACTTTTAGATCCTGGCCTCGACATTATGAGGGAAACAGACTCTGACTGTGTGTTGTTTTTATATTGTGGGAGTTTTTGGCTGTGAGAAAAGCAGCAGAAGGTAGTTAACCGAGCATGCTTGCTTTGGTCAGGAGGATTTCACTTTCCCATACGGATGCGACCACAAAACCTCTACAATCTGCTCCAATTAAAGCACTTCTAAATAGTGTCTTTTCACTGTTTCTACTGGAGCCATGTGAGCTCTGAGAGGTTAAGGTTACAGCTCTGCTACTGGACGCATGTACCCTTTGAGAGGTTATGATTATTTGAAGAATATTCAATCTGGAGAGACTTGAGAGGAAGATTGCATTAGAATATTTACCATCAACAGACTTGGATTGAGTCCTAATCAGAATCAGAATCATGTTTATTGCCATGTAAGTAACAGGAAGTCACATAGGAAATGGCTTTGGCTCTCGGTGAAGACAGTCCAAAAACGAGAGGTAGAGAAGAGGGGAAAAATGTGGTTTGTGATCAGCCTCAGCTCTCTCCAAACAGACGCAGGGTGTATTTATTGCAGAAGAATTTCCGATTAGACCTCGGCAGGAAAACTGTGTTCGAGGCAGGAGAGAGAGAGAGAGAGAGAAGAGAGCGCGAGACAGGAGAGAGAGAGAAGAGGGCGCGAGACAGGAGAGAGAGAGAGAAGAGGGCGCGAGACAGGAGAGAGAGAATAGATTGAGAGACAGGAGAGAGAAAGTAGAGAGCAAGAGACAGGAGAGAGACAGAGAAGAGAGCGTGAGACAGGAGAGAGAAGAGAGTGCGAGACAAGAGAGAGAGAGAGAAGAGAGCAAGAGACAGGAGAGAGACAGAGAAGAGAGCGTGAGACAGGAGAGAGAAGAGAGCGCGAGACAGTAGAGAGACAGAAGAGAGCGAGAGACAGGAGAGAGAGAGAAGAGAGCGAGAGACAAGAGAGAGAGAGAGAAGAGAGCGAGAGACAGGAGAGAGAGAAGAGAGTGCAAGACAGGAGAGAGAGAGAAGAAATTGCGAGACAGGAGAGAGAAGAGAGCGAGAAACAGAGAGAAGAGAGACAGGTGAGAGACACAGGAGAGAGAGAGAGAGAGAGAGACAAAAGAGAGACAGAGACAGGAGAAAGAGAGAGAGAGAAGAGAGACAGAGACAGGAGAGAGAGAAGAGAGCGAAAGACAGGAGAGAGAAGAGAGTGAGAGACAAGAGAGACAGGGGAGAGAGAAAGAAGAGAGCGAGAGACAGAGAGAAGAGAGACACCGGAGAGAGAGCAACGGGAGAGAGACAAAAAAGAGACAGAGACAGGAGAGAGAGAGAGACAAGAGAAAGACGGATGAGAGAGAGGAGAGACAGACCAGACAGACCTGAGAGAGAGACCACAGAGAGAGACCTCTGCAGGAAACCTGAATGACAACATAAGAAAGTGCTCACTAATGTTGTACCTGGATCTATAATGAGATTGTCGGTCCTCTCTGGTTCCAGTCTCGGTGGGGTTCGAGTACGAGTCGTGCCTGGACCTTATCCTGTGGGAGAAGAGGACGTCCTTCCTTCAGGGGTACGAGCTGGACGCCTCCAACATGGGCGGCTGGACCCTGGACAAACAGCACATCCTGGACGTGCAAAACGGTACGAGAAATGTAGCTTTTTACCAAGACTGAGGCGTTCTGTTGTGACCCCAAATGTGACTTTATGCGCAGGGAAAAAGAGCCCTGCTGCTGTTGTCTGCATGATGATATATATATGATAGGCGCTTCGGAAAATGCATAATAAAGAAGAAAAAAAGCATAGATAAGTCGCATTTTAGTAGCTTAATCGCTCAACTCTATAGCCCGGGCAATTATTTGATATTTCACGGTAAATAAAACATTTATACAAAATATTAAATGTAATTAAAGATGGAGGCAAATTATGAAGATCTTAGAAAATCAAAAAAAATCTAAAAAATAAATCAAGGCACTTGTGGTCAATGGTTTAGAAAGTTTAAAGAGCCTTTATGTCCTCATGGCTGTAAATTAAAATACAGAAGTCGCTCCCCCCGGGCCAAGCTATGACAAAAATTGCGACTACCGAAAAATACGGTAACACGTTTTGTCAATTTCTCCATTGTGAAATAAAGTTTATCTTATCTTAACTATACGATATTTAGTATACATATATATAAGTATATGTACAGAAAACTGCAGTCTTTGCGTACAATAGAAAGTCTAAAAAATGCAGCTTTGTTGAGGACGCCACGTTATAATAGTTCCTTTGTCAGGCTGTATCCAAATGAACCTCACACCTTTTGCAAAAGTTTAACTCAAATGATTTACACAAGGACAGATATAATTGTGCTACAGTTTTCATTCCCACATAGTTTTAGTCTATACATTATTATTATTATTATTGTGCAAATGAGCTCCAGTTTGTCTTCTCTGCATAATGTCGGGGTAATTACACGTCCAGGACTCACTGTTTCAAAAGCATGTGGCTGTGAATGTCTCTGAGGAAATGATGAGGCAAAAGCTAGGATTGGATCGTATAGGTTCACATTAGTGCCAGAGAGAGAGACCAGAGAGAGACCAGAGAGAGACCAGCAAGAGAGACACCAGAGAGAGAGACCAGAGAGAGACCAGCGAGAGAGAGACCAGAGAGGGACTAGAGAGGGACTAGAGAGAGACCAGAGAGAGACCAGAGAGAGACAGTAGGGAGAGACCAGAGAGAGACCAGAGAGACCAGAGAGAGACCAGAGAGACCAGAGAGACCAGAGAGAAATTAGACAAAGAGAGGTTCACATTAGTGCCTGAGAGAGAGACCAGAGAGAGAGACCAGAGAGAGACCAGCAAGAGAGACACCGGAGAGAGAGACCAGAGAGAGAGACCAGAGAGAGAGAGACCAGAGAGGGACTAGAGAGGGACTAGAGAGAGACCAGAGAGAGACCAGAGAGAGAGAGACCAGAGAGAGAGACCAGAGAGAGAGACCAGAGAGAGACCAGCAAGAGAGACACCAGAGAGAGACCAGCGAGAGAGGGACTAGAGAGGGACTAGAGAGAGACGAGAGAGAGAGAGACCAGAGAGAGACCAGTGAGAGACCAGAGAGAGAGACCAGAGTGAGACCAAAGAGAAAGACCAGAGAGAGAGAGACCAGAGAGAGACAGGAGGGAGAGACCAGAGAGAGACCAGAGAGACCAGAGATAGAGACCAGAGAGAGACTAGAGAGACCAGAGAGAAATTAGACAGAGAGACAGGAGAGAGAGACCAGAGAGAGATTAGACGGAGAGACAGGAGAGAGACAAGAAAGAGACCAGAGAGGAAAAAAACAGAGAAAGAGACCAGAGTGAGATCAGAGAGAGAAACCAGAGGGAGGCAAGAGAGAGACCATGGAAAGAGACCAGAGCGAGACCAGAGCGAGAGAGACCAGAGACGATAAAAACAGAGATAGAGACCAGATAGAGACCAGAGTGAGATCAGAGAGAGAGACCAGAGGGAGGCAAGAGAGAGACCATGGAAAGAGACCAGAGCGAGACCAGACAGAGAGAGACACTGCAGAAAGACCAGAGAGAGAAACCACAGAGAGAGACACCTTTGAGAACCTCCATCTTTTCCACCCAACACCAACTCAGCCTTATTTGGCCTAAAACGACTCGAGTCAAAGTTTCTCCGTCTGTCGCTAAGTGAAAGAACTCCTCAGTGTCTGTGTTTTTGAGCCTTTCATATAACTGCAGGCGCTGTATTTGCCCACTTGTTTATTAGCACTTTGCCTCTTGCTTCTTGCTGCTTTTTATTGCATTTCCTTAGACTTCTGTCATCAGCGAGTTTCATTTGCGACCGTCTGTCTGCGCTGCGGATAAACAAGTTGAAATGTGAAAAATGGAAAATGTAATAAATGTTATGATGATGTGTTCACTGTGGGAGACTTAAGTGTCTTTCTGTCTGTGCTCGGAAATCGCTTTTATTGTCGAGTTTGTCCAAGTTTTTATGAAATGTGAAAGTGGAGAAAAACATTCGTATGAGTCCGATTGCTGCTTGGGCTTTTTCTGCTGATTAGATAGAGTTGAATTTACCACACACAGGGACTGGAAGAGGCTTTTGTAGAGCGGCTCCGATCGGTAACGAGGCGTGAGTGATTGGGTAAAATGGGGCGATAAGATTTTTAGGGTTTTTTTCTAATCAATGGGGAAAAAAAGTTTGTAAAATAATAAAGTAAAATATATGTCAAAGTCACAAGTACTGTATATGGGGCTTATTAGGCAAAACAAAAAGATGTATCTAAGTTCGAAGTTCCTGTGACAATAGTGCCACTAGAGAGAGACCAGAAAGAGAGAGCAGAGAGAGATCAGAGAGATAGACCAGCGTGATAGACCAGAGCAAGACTAGATAGAGAATCCAGAGTGAGAGACCAGAGTGAGAGACCAGAGTGAGGGACCAGAGTGAGAGACCAGAGTGAGAGACCAGAGTGAGAGACCAGAGTGAGGGACCAGAGTGAGGGACCAGAGTGAGGGACCAGAGTGAGACCAGAGTGAGGGACCAGCGTGATAGACCAGAGTGAGAGACCAGAGTGAGGGACCAGAGTGAGAGACCAGCGTGATAGACCAGAGCAAGACTAGATAGAGAATCCAGAGTGAGAGACCAGAGTGAGGGACCAGAGTGAGGGACCAGAGTGAGACCAGAGTGAGGGACCAGCATGATAGACCAGAGTGAGACCAGAGTGAGGGACCAGCGTGATAGACCAGAGTGAAACCAGAGTGAGGGACCAGCGTGATAGACCAGAGTGAGAGACCAGAGTGAGAGACCAGAGTGAGAGACCAGAGTGAGTGATGTCCAATATCCATGAGTAAACGATAACATTAAAGATATGTTGTAAAGTGCTAAGTGCCCATTAGGTTCTCCACAGTTCCCAACCTTTCACTTTATCGTTTAAAATATTACGCATTCTTTTTGGCCGTTCGAAATAATAATCAGACTATTTACTTTATAACTTTCTTTCTGAATCAATATTTGAGTTTTTCTGTAGTTACATCAGCTTTGAGACCTTTTGAGAGGGAGAAGAGAGAGAACAGAGAGAGACTAGAGACAGGAGAGAGAGAGACAATAGAAAGACGAGAGAGAGATGCCAGTGAGAGACCAGAAAGGGAGACTAAAGAGAGAGAGAGGTCAGAGAGTAGTCATAGAAAGGCCAGGGAGAGGTCAGAGAGTAGTCATAGAAAGGCCAGGGAGAGACCAGAGAGAGACCAGAGAGAGACCAGAGAGAGACCAGAGAGACTAGAGAGAGGCCAGAGAGACACTAGAGAGAGGCCAGAGAGGGACTAGAGAGAGAATAGAGAGAGACTAGAGGGAGACTAGAGGGAGAGAGACTAGACAGAGGCCAGAGAAAGAGGCCAGAGAGAGACTAGAGAGAGACTAGAGAGAGACTAGAGGGAGACTAGAGGGAGAGAGGCTAGAGAGAGGCCAGAGAAAGAGGCCAGAGAGAGACTAGAGGAAATGTGGATCCAGGGACTGGAAGAGGCTTTTGTAGAGCGGCTCCGATCGGTAACGAGACGTGAGTGATTGGGTAAAATGGGGCGATAAGATTTTTAGGGTTTTTTTCTAATCCATCCATCCATCCATTTTCTTCCCTTTAATCCATTTCTGGGTCAGGGGGGTGGCAGTCAGAGATGCCACCCAAGTCTCATAGCACCAGCCCCTCACTGACCCTCTGCAGGTGGTGAGTCCACAGGAGGATGGCTGCTCTCTGAGTGTGAGCATAGCCTTGATCTTTCAGTGGGGGCTTTGGGCAAAGTGGGGTTAAGTGTCTTGCCCAAGGACACAACGACAGCAGTCATCAGTGGGAGTCGGTGGAGAAGGTGCAGAGGTGGGAATTGAACCCACGACCTTCTGGCCTTAAGGCCAATGCTCGACCAACTGAGCTACTGTCGCCCCTTTTTTTCTAATCAATGAGGAAAAAAAGTTTGTAAAATAATAAAGTAAAAGATATGCCAAAGTCACAAGTACTGTATATGGGGCTTATTAGGCAAAACAAAAAGATGTAACTAAGTTTGAAGTTCCTGTGACAATAGTGCCACTAGAGAGAGACCAGAAAGAGAGAGCAGAGAGATAGACCAGTGTGAGAGACCAAGGTGAGAGACCAGCGTGAGAGACCAGCGTGATAGACCAGAGCAAGACTAGATAGAGAATCCAGAGTGAGAGACCAGAGTGAGAGACCAGAGTGAGAGACCAGAGTGAGGGACCAGAGTGAGAGACCAGAGTGAGAGACCAGAGTGAGGAACCAGAGTGAGGGACCAGAGTGAGGGACCAGAGTGAGAGACCAGAGTGAGGGACCAGAGTGAGCGACCAGAGTGAGGGACCAGCGTGATAGACCAGCGTGATAGACCAGAGTGAGGGACCAGAGTGAGACCAGAGTGAGGGACCAGCATGATAGACCAGAGTGAGACCAGAGTGAGGGACCAGCGTGATAGACCAGAGTGAGAGACCAGAGTGAGAGACCAGAGTGAGAGACCAGAGTGAGAGACCAGAGTGAGAGACCAGAGTGAGAGACCAGAGTGAGAGACCAGAGTGAGGGATCAGAGTGAGGGATCAGTGTGAGAGACCAGAGTGAGGGATCAGCGTGAGAGACCAGAGAGAGAGACCAGAGAGAGAGAGACCAGAGAC